TCTCTCTGTCTATCTGTCTCTCTGTCTATCTGTCTCTCTATCCTTCTCTATCCTTCTCTATCTATCTGTCTGTCTCTCTGTCCGTCTGTCTGTCCGTCTGTCTGTCCATCTGTCTGTGCATCTGTGCATATGTGCATCTGTGCATCTGTCCATCTGTCCATCTGTCCACCTGTCTACCTGTCTACCTGTCTATCTATCTGTCTATCTATCTGTCTATCTATCTGTCTATCTGTCTATCTGTCTATCTGTTTATCTGTTTCTCTGTGTGTCTGTCTATCTGTCTGTCTGTCTGTCTGGCTGGCTGTCTGTCTATCTATCTATCTATCTGTCTATCTGTCTATCTGTCCATCTGTCCATCTGTCCATCTGTCCATCTGTCTACCTGTCTACCTGTCTACCTGTCTATCTGTCTATCTATCTGTCTATCTATCTATCTCTCTCTCTCTCTCTATCTCTTTCTATTCGTCTTTCTGTCTGTCTGTCTGCCTGTCTGTCTGTCTGCCTGTCTGTCTGTCTGCCTTTCTTTCTATCTGAAAGGAAGCAACTATGCGAGACTTCTTCCTCAAAAATAGAAGTTCGCAGCTCCAAAACGAAGAAATTCTGCGGGACTTCCCTCAGTGCTTGGCCATTCAAATGGCGATTTCGGGGCTCTTACCATCTCTTACCCCTGGTTCGATGCGTTCATCTTCATCTTTTGGCATGGACAAGGCATGATGAACAGTGACAGTCCAAGGAAGGATGTGGCACATGTGTGGAAGTCTGTAAAAATCCATTACAAGGCATGGTTCATGTAACTGAAGTTTCACACACTCCACCAACTGAAGATTCTGGAAGAGTTATCGTGTACCATGGCTTTGCCAAACGAAACTCGTGCCTGAGTGTTTCGAGCGCTTCCATGAATGTCTACCCCGGACTAAAAAACCCGACTATTCATTCAGGTTGCCTACCTTTGAAAATAATGATAGGTTGTGAATAGTTATGAAAGATTATTATTGAAATTGGTACCACCCCCTATCAATAAACTGATGAGTTATGATAAATGGCTGAAATTTGGTCCCCACCCAGCAATGGAACATTCCCCATTTGTAGATGATGCTGATTTACCTTTCAACAATCGTGATTTTCCATGACTAACATATATATATATAGATATAGATATAGATATAGATATAGGCAGGTACATCACATAAATGCGTCAAATTACCAGAGGCTACCCTCTGGTAATTTAACCTAGCCACTGAAAAATGACCATAGATTTTTTATATTTACTGAAAAATGTGATTTTCTACAGCTATCTTAGTTTACCAAAGGCCAATCCACTAAGCATTTCCCACTTCTCTGGCCATGCCACGTAGAGCCGAATGGTCTGCCCAATCTGCATCAACAGTACGAGGACGGCCACCGCCCTCGATACATCCAGTGCCTGACCTTGGGGTCATAACCACCCAAATATCAAAGATGGTTATTATGGTTTTATGTGGTTTTGTAAGGATAATGTGTGGTTTTGTAAGGATAATATGTAGTTCAGTAAGGGGTTTTATGTGGTTTAGATCCAAAGAAGTTCGACCTTTTGGGATTTGGAAAAGAATGAAAAAAATGGTTTTTTTTCGTCGGTGTCCGCAATTTCCAAGGCTTTTTGGATCCCATGGCAGGGATAGTAATGTTTAACATATTCTGCTTTAATATGGTTTAATATGTTGTTTTATATGGTTTAATAGGAGCAATAATAATCAGATAATAATGGATTTACCCTCTGGTGATCAAACATGGCTGGCATTTGGAAATCCTCTATGCACGGAGGTTTTACTGGGACAATTATCCATGGGGAAGTGTCCATCGCCATTTTTTTCAGAATAAAACCAGGGGGTCGGTTTTTTGCATACGCATGGGTTTTTAAGCGGAAAATCACATTGGGTCAGTCCACAACCCAGGCGTAATCCATGAATCATTGGGTGAATGGGAGGTGATTTGGTATTTTCTGTCATTTCGCATTGGGAAATCAATCACATGGGTAACCGATTGAGAAAATACTTGGGAGTCTCTCTCTCTCTCTCCCTTCATCGCTATCTTAAAAATCGTGGGAGTCATGCGATGTAAAAATATATAACATTATATAACTATGTGAATCTCAAAGGGAAACTCCTCGGAAGAAAACTAAGCTGATATAGGAATATGATTCATATGATCTATAAATTCGGATGGTTGATCATCATTTCTCATATTTCTCATCACTTTCCCCATTGAAATTGCCATATCTTCGGGTCCTAACGTTGCCCATGTTCCAACGACCCCCAGCCCCGCCCCGCGCCACCCCGCGCGTCCACGCGACTCGTAGGATGGTGGGTGTAGGCGAAGGCCAGGCTGATCGCCTCGATGAAGGGCCCTCCCAGCTCGATGGGAAAGCAGCCCCCGTGTGAGGGAATCCTCGGCGGAGGTGCATGGGATGGGGATTAGGAATTCGTCAGAATTCATCCATAGGGATCATGTGCCGATTTTATAAAGGGATTTAACATGATTTAACCCTCAACGATGGGGATTCTGATCCATTTACCCTCTCATAATATGGCAATGAGAAATAGCCACATAACAAATGGATATAAATGGAGGTTAGGTGGGAAATCATCGAATGAAACGGTGGATTTTCCAGCACGCCGTGTTTGATTATCTGAGGGTATCCATCTTGACCTCAAATCTAAAGTGGGTTCCCGTAAATTCCATCATCCAATTTTGGCAAATAAAGTGGACCGCCATGCTGTGCCGCTGTGCCCAAAAAAAAAAGATGATGAAGTGGAGAGTTATTCGAGTCTACTGACTTCACTTCTCCACCCGAGTTTTCTTGGTACCCTCTGGTAAACTAACATAACTATAGAAAATCACCATTTTTAATGGGAAAACCCACTATAAATGGGCCCTCTATACCATAGCTTTTTGTTAGTTTACCAGAGGGTACATCAACTGGAGATTTTTAATGGGGAAATCAGCCAACTGGTGGATGTTCGGTGCGCACCAAGCCGACCGAGCTGCACATCCATGCGGAACATGATCCACACGGCGCTGGTCAAGGTGGAGGAACAGACCATGGCGCCCCAAACCAGGCCCAGCTCACCGATGCAGTGGATCGGAAGCCAATAGGCGAAGGATTGGATCCTGACTTCACTTGGGAAAAGCTGGGAGGAAAAGCTGGAAAAGCTGGAAGAATCCGAATTCGTAGCTCCAAGTGGCTGCTAACCACAGGATTTTCGGCTATAACCAAGAAAGTGAAGTTGGAAAAAGGATGGCTCACTGGACTGCCAGAGGATGGAGACGAAAAACAAATCAGACTCTATATATATATACATACATACATAGCCTAGGCCTAGGCGAACATGATGAAAATTGGCGTGACGTTCCAGAATCTTCAGCAAACCAACATTCAAACAGCAAACTGCCTGGGAACTCACCATAAAACCCACTTGATCCTAAGGCCTAGGATCGCCAAATGCAGCTTGGGAGCAGATGCATCATGCCGATCAAGAAGGTCACGCGTGCATAAGCTTCTGCGCACCAGTAGTCCTCGCCACGATGTCACTGCGTTGCATGGAAGTCTTCCAAACAAATGCTGAATTGCTAAACCTTGGAGCATGGGGTGCATCCATTTTTTTAGAGATTCATCTATATCCCCATTATATCTCGGACGGCTTCTACGTGGTGCGCGCACGGCGCAGTGCGGCGCAGCACCGTATATCATTATATCCCAATTGATGGTAAATTACCCACGATATCTTGGAATCTTATAGGTATGTAACAAGATCCTTTTGTAATACGTAAATATAAATATAAATATAAATAAATAAATATATATATATATATAATTATATTATGTGTGTGTACATATATGTGTGCGTGTGTATGTATGTTTGCAATGGATGTGTTTGAATCTTATGTGATCCATTTAAGTTGCCAACTTGTTGATATTTCCAATGGAAAATCCTCCATTGGAAGATCCCAAAAATGGCGGCCATGGCGTCCTTCTGCGCCTGCCGGATGGCCTCGAAGTGTGCGTAGGGCTCCGGGGGCGCTTCCAAGCCGAAGCCGCTGGGGGAGGCCTTGGGCATGTCTTCCCGGCCCTCGATCTCCTGGAAGTTCCGGGGGCTCGATCTGCAGGTCTAGATAGTGAGATGTTGGGATCATCCAGTGGGAGGATTTACAGTTAACTAACAGTTTGCTATTGAAAATGGTCATAGAAATAGTGGATTTTCCCATTAAAAATTGTGATTTTCTATAGTTATGTTAGTTTACCAGAGGGTACAAACCAAGAGTTCTTCGACGAATCAGGCAACAACCCGTTGTATCTCTGAGTAGATTGAAGTGACATGAAGTGACTATAGAAAAAACTTGGTGCCCACGGATGTGACCAATTCCTCCAAGGACCAACACTTACATAGACTACCAACTCACCGACGATCAGAAACCATCTGAGGTCCAACAGCAACTACAACATATTATATGTACAACGCATATATATATACACATATACATATACATATACATATGCATATGCATATGCATATACATATACATATACATATACATATACATATACATATACATATACATATACATATACATATGTATGTATGTATGTGTATATATATATATGTGTGTGTGTGTGTGTGTTTAAGTTTCATCTTCTATTTACACCACCGTTCGTTTGTTTTTTCTGTACTAAGGGAGCCTGCAATGGGTGCGTATATATATATATATTCCCATATCTACCCATTCCGAAAAATATCCGGAGTAACCGTATATTACCATTTATTACCATATATATATAACCATACATTTATTACCATATATATATATATTACCATATCATACCATGCCTCTCTCTCATATATTACCATAGGTTTTTTAGTATGTCTGGTGTACCAAAAAAAAACAGATACCCTCTGGTAAACTAACATAGCTATGGAAAATTGATTTACCCATTAAAAGTGGTGGATCTTTCCATAGTTTTTGTATGTTTACCAGAGGGTAATCCATATATAATCCATATAACTATGGAAAATCACAATTTTTAATGGGTAAATCCACTATTTCTATGGCCATTTTCCACTGCGTATCTTGCCCCAAGCATCCCCTCCCCCTCCTTCTCCACCCATCCGGGTGCCCCCGAGGTGAAGCCCGGCATCCGCGCAGCATGGCCCAGCTCTTTGAGATCGCCCCCCGCCTCCTCCTGGAAATCCTTCACCTCGGAGAGAGATTTTTCTTGGGATCTCACTTACCATCTGGCTATGACTAACATAGCCATGGAAAGATCCACCATTTTTAATAGGTAAACCATCTATTTCATGGGCCATCTATACCATGGCTATGTTAAATAACCAGAGGGTAAAAAGGATTGAATTGATGGATGTTGATGAGTGATCATAAGTGATCCGATTATCATTTTTGGGGGATTTTTTGGGATCTCACTTTTTTGTTGATGTTTCTTTTTTTGATAATATTTGGATAAGTTAATATAAGTGATACATCATTACTGAAAACAATGACTTAATGATGCTTTGTGTGTGGTCTTTTTTTTGTGTGTTTGAGGGGGGTTCTGGTGTTTTACATGCAGCCGGAAATATCAATACTCTGATGATGTTTGTAAACTGTTTTATTGTGTGTTCAATACAGTTTTGTGGTGTTTGATGGGTTGGTCTCAGGTGTAAAAATGCAAGGAACGATGGTTCCAGGCAAAAAATAGAGGCTGCGCCGGTAAAGCACCAACTCAGTTTGAATCAGTACCTCGATTATCCATATATCTTCATTTGTTGCTAGTTCTATCCCCCTTCATTGCTTGGTGGCAGCCTTTTTTTGGAACTTCACCACTCCAGGCCGTCACGTCGCCTTTCCTTTCATCTTTGCTGCCATTCCGGGCAGGCCCCCTTTCTTGTAGCCACCTTCAGGGCACCCCATGACGAACCATGCTGAACCGTGCTGAACAGCACCTTTTCCAACATGAACTGCGTGGCTGTTGCTTTCCCCCTGCCTTCGCTGGTATTGAAATGATAACCGAAACATCTGTAGAAAGGGAAAGCACCCTTCTGGTACCCAAAAATGATAAATGATGATGGATATCTACAGTGAACAAGACAGGGATACATCCCACTTTTGATGATCATAAGGGGGCAGGTATGCAAGGGTTTTCTCCTCGATTTTCATGAACTAACCCAGTTGGAAATTGGCACATCTATGAGAAAAACAACCAAATTCATAAATTTACCATTGGCATGACCCCGTGTAAATTAGGTTACAGGTACCAAATGCTATGTTAAAGACTTTGAAACGATGGGTCACTCTGAAATATTCCAGAATCTCATCAATGACCATCATGTTGATCAAATTGTTATCTGTGGATATTATATACTATATCAGTTGACTGGTTATATTGTATGTATATATATATATACATATATATATATATCCCATCACTGTGTCATATTATATCCCGTAGCATCATGGTAACTGCCTAGAATATCATAGAGTGGGACATTTAATATATATGTGTATATGTATATATATATAGGTATGTATGTATAATTATATGTACATATATATATATATATCTGTGTGTAATTATATTATATAACTGGGCTAACAATAGAAAATCACAATGTAAAATGGATATTTGATGATATCTGCCTACGACCATCCTTACAAAATGGTTGCTATCAAAATCCCTTACCCCTTCTCGTTGCATCCCGCCTTTGATCCCCTCCGCATCGAACTTCACCTCCTCCTCCGCCCCCGGCGGAGCTTCACCACTCTGCGGCAAAACGAAGGGCAGGCGGAACATGTCGTAGACGCCTCCGGGAAGCAGCGGCCACAGATCGGTGACACCCCCAATCATGTTTTGGCACTAGTAAGGGCGAAATCTTAAGCGGCTATTGGGGATTTCATAATTTTCATATCTGTTTTTTCTCGGAGATTTTTGGGAAAAAAAAACACATGACCTCTGGAAAGAATCCCTTCCCCGTGAAACCTTGGCAGACTGGGATTGAAAAACAAGATTTGAGAGGATGGAATGAAACTGTCATTTGGACCTTTTTTTCCCAAACTAGGAGTTGCATACCATGTGGCCAAAGGCGTAAGCGAGCTGATAGTTGAACAACTGCAGTGACATGACGTCAATTATTTGATATGAGGAATTCTTCTGGCTCTCGGTCTGAGGATGAAGATGTCCTGTTCAATGTTTCTCTCAAGGCCTTAGGCCTCAGCCAACAAGTCCCAACTTGGCAGCTCCGCACAAGAGATTTGAAACCATTAAGATTTAAACATATTTAAACATATTTAAACATATTTAAACATATTTAAACAATCATGGATTATTTCCAGTAACCATATCTTAAAAAAAAAAACATGGTTTACCACACACACCAAAAAAAAATAACCATCAACCCCTCCCGGCCTTGCTCCTCATAGCTCGACAAGATCTTCCTGGCACTGTCCAGTTGCCGTTGCGAAGGCACCGGCAATCGCACCTGCCGCGTCCGCAGTTGGACCATCGCCACCTGCCGCGGTGGACCATGCAACGGGGATGTTCAGGTTATGCCGTTATGCCTATGGTAGGGAGATAGTAAACCTATGGAAACCTCAGAAATCTCGGACATTTCGGGACATTGGAAATCTCGGACATTTCGGGACATTGGAAATCGCCTATGGTAGGGAGATAGTAAACCTATGGAAACCTCAGAAATCTCGGACATTTCGGGACATTGGAAATCTCGGACATTTCGGGACATTGGAAATCTCGGACATTTCGGGACATTGGAAATCTCGGACATTTCGGGACATTGGAAATCTCGGACATTTCGGGAAATTGGATGAGTTTGGTGGATGTTAGCTGCGGAGTTACTTCTCTTGATTTACGGGAGATAGGTGGCATCGAGAAATCTATGTGAACATGAACCCCTCGGGGAGAGAAAACAAAAAACTCCGTACATCTCGATGCACAGGGTCAAGACTATGAATCACCAAGGATGGGTTTGGAAATGTTTTGTATCACTTGATACCAACGAGAGTTAAAACATGAAATAGACTAAAATACTACCAGTAGTTGATTGTTTCCAATTTGAAACCTGCCTTGAATCATCTTGACGCTTTCCCTTAGCTAAATGATCTAAGCCAGGAAACATGGCGCTAGTATCACCGGCCTGAGCGCGCATGGCAGCATGCCAGCAAAGCCAAATGGATAGCGTCATGAAGGCAAAGGACACACCCAGGCAATTCCTCGGCTGCCGAACTTGCACAATGAGTTCCTCAGAGTCCTTTTAGAGGCTGCTACCACTTGGGGCTCCAAAGCTATGGTTATTCAATAGACAGTTTCCTTCTTGGACCTTCCCCCAAAAAAGGTGGAGACTTGTAGAGGCCCCATTCTTCGTTGGAAAAGGAGTGCAAAAGGGATCCAAAGGGATTTTGAAGTCCAGGAACTTGGTGGATGTCTATTTATTTCATGCGGAAAAATGTCAAGCTATGTCAAGCTATAGGGATGGGTCAAGTCACCTATTTCATCTTCAGGGACAAACGACTCTTTTTGGAGTTTTCAACCATTGCAGCCCGTATACTGAATTGACCCATCCGACTAAAACCACCCAAAGGTGCAAGTACAAGCCCGAAGCAAAGGTTGGGGGACCTGGCGCCAAAGTCACTGAAGGGCAGGGCGTCCAAAAAAATTTCACGCCCCCAAATGGTCAAAGTACAGATGGTATTGTTATTTCTTTACCGAGAAACAACCCCCCAGGGTAACAATGTGGTTGACCCAGATGGTATTCATTGGTATTCTGTTGTTTCTGGGTCAACCACATTTGTTCCCTTCAGTATGGACATACATATGTACATACAACAACACCATGGAAACTCCCAAACTTAAAAACAGGTTATTGCAATGCTTGGAACATGCTACATGAATACGTTAATGATGGTTTTGCTACGGCCCGGTGAAAGTGCAGGAGGATCAATGTGTCGATGTCATGTGCTAAAATATTGCACGCCCAGAACGGGCAGTAGGAAAAACCATGGTCGCAAAAAAACAACATCACTTATGATGTTTTTGGGGGGTGTCCTAAATTCTACCCCAAACAATTGGTCTTCGCATAAGAACCCAATTCATGGATGAATTCATGGATAATTAATTATTGCTATTTTGGATGATTTCGTGGCATTTTGTGGTCCGCCCTTTTTGGGCTTCTCCCAAGTAAACCCGCCTGGAAACTTCAATCCCGAACGCGCTTCGACCAGGACGGTCAAGACCTCCGCGCGGGATGTGCATCCATTGGTCGTGCACATTGTTATGCTGGCTGGTGGTATACAATGTAATTTGGTCAGTTGGGATTATTATTCCCGACATATGGAAAGTCATAAAATTCATGTTCCAAACCACCAACCAGTATAGTAGTTAGAGTCCTGGAGATATCATGAGATATCTGCAACCGAGACCATCCGAGAATATGAGTGGGATCTGGTGTCATCTGAGTTACCCATATGAGACTTGAGACAACTCCTCTTTCTGAGGCCATCGGAGGCCATGGTCTGCCAAAGAGTGCAATCAGCAAAATGGGCAGTAGCCAGTGTCCTGGTTTTGCTTTAAAAAAGCCATCGACAACTTCAAAATAAGTCATGGGTATGACTGAAGCTGGATGACACTGGTCCAACATGTCCAAAATGGTCAGTGGATGTCAGTGGATTGGGTATCCCATGGTGTCTATCTTCACAATTTCTGTACCGTGATCTGCCAGTAGCCGGTCACTCACATAGGGTCGGTGCGTTTTACTCTCCAACGGCGGAAACCGCGGATACTCCAAGAGCATTTGAATCAGAAAATGATGATGAAGCGAAATCAGGAAACTAGTGATGAAGCCTTTGATTTTCATTCTCGCCCTGGTCTTTAGGCAGACACATTTTGAATCATTTCGGCAGTGAAGACCCCGGCACACAGCCACGGGAACGTGATGGTCATCCATTGGTTGGAGGTCAGAATTTCCATGGATAAGCCGAATTGATCAGAAAAATTCAAGAGTTTGTCTGCTCGAGGTTGAACACAGCTACGGAAACTTCCCCATCACAGATGTTTTTTTTTTACCTATTCTGGTGATGGTCCATAGCATTCCATAGCTATGTTTACCAAACTGGGGGTACCAATATCCAAGATCTCTCGACACATTTCACCAATATTTCACCCAGCTGCATATCCCAAACTCATGGTGAGGACCGGCACATAGACCTTCAACTTGCTGACACTCACCGCGGCCAGATCCGCCACGTCCTCGCGGAACATGGCGTAGCGCTTGATTTCATTGCCACGGCCTGGCGCACCCAAGAATGGAACCTCCAACCGCGACCGGAGCAAACATGTAGATGTATATTTCATGGTATGTATGTATGTCTGTCTGACTGACTGACTGACTGTCTGACTGACTGTCTGTCTGACTGACTGACTGACTGTCTGTCTGACTGACTGACTGACTGTCTGTCTGTATGTCTGTCCGTCTGTCTGTCTGTCTGAGGTATGGTATGGTATGGTATGGTATGTATGGATGGATGGATGGATGGATGGATGCATGAATGCATGAATGGATGAATAAGCATGAATAAGCATGAATAAGCATGAATAAGCATGAATAAGCATGAATAAGCATGAATAAGCATGAATAAACATGAATAAGCATGAATAAGCATGAATAAGCATGAATATGCATGAATGTATGAATAAGCATGAATAAGCATGAATAAGCATGAATAAGCATGAATAAGCATGAATAAGCATGAACGTATGGATGTATGGATGTATGGGTGTATGGATGTATGGATGTATGGATGTATGAATGTGTGAGTGTGTGTATGTGTGTATGTGTGTATGTATGTCTGTCTGTCTGTATGTCTGTATGTCTGCATGTCTGTATGTCTGTATGTCTGTCTGTCTTTCTGTCTGTCTTTCTGTCTGTCTGTATGTATGCATGTATGCATGTATGCATGTATGCATGTATGCATGTATGCATGTATGCATGTATGAATGTATGAATGTATGAATGTATGTAGGTAGGTATGTATGTATGTATGTATGTTCGTGTTCATTGATTTGTTTGTTGGTTCATTTTACATCTATTTGCTTTTTTACTTCTTATGATATGTTTTTTCATGCATCTACGTTTACACGTTTTGCTTTATTTTAGTGTTTCATTGAGTCAGCTAATTTTTTATGAACTGTTTTTTTTATGTAATTACCTCCAAGAAACTCTCGAAAACTAAGATGGACCCCGAAAAAATGCTAGAGAGAAAAAAAACATATTGTGAAGCAATCTCTTGAGGTCCCCTGTCAGATTTCAAGCAGCTTTTCACGGAGTCATGAATCATCTGAGACCCAAGGCTGCCGGCGGAGATTCAATGGAAAAAACGGGATCAACTCCAAAATGTTTTGTCTGGACCCCTGACATTGACCCAACCCGCCCAGAATGGCAATGTTTTGACTCATGGTCAGCTTGAGATCCCCTCCAAAATCCCAAAAATCCAGATCTCGGAGGCTTCCTCACCATTGATTTCAACTGCAACAAACCCCCACAGTGATGTTCGTCTATAGATTTATCTCCCATAAACCATAGAATTCACGTGAACCAAACCAACATAGCTTAGCCGAACTGGAGCACCACCGTGGCATTTTTTGGGTCGGCCAAACATCCACCAGGCCTGCTGTGAACCGACCCCAACGCTGTCCCTGGTCGAATTGGTAGTTGGTCCGGTTGTAGCCGAAGCCCAGGATACTCACCTTATGACTGGTTGGAACAAAGCGACCAATGAACAAAGTTAGGCCCATCCAGGTCGCAAGGATTCCAGACTCAACATAATCTAAGCTAGTCGGTTTCTAGAGTTGAGGTAGTGATTGATAGGATCTGATAGGGATACAGTAGAGGGGGCAGTCGTACTTGACTGTCAGAGGTGAAATGAACAAGGGGAAAATAACAAAGAACGAAATGGACTTGACGTGATTTAAATACAAGTAAAAAATGCGTTTAACCCTTCAACCAGCCAAACTTGGGAAATAGTGGAACAAGTAAAAGGAGGTGGAGAATATGATTGTCCTTGGAAACAGCCCCGTTCACAAACAAGACCGCAGGGGCATACAAAACAGCAAAAAAATATGGACGCAACTTGTCCATAGGTGCAACCAACAGTGCAACCAACAGTCAGGAAAGTTGCTTGATTGACGGGTCACATTTCAGCTCATGACCCTCTACCCGACCCCAAATGAAGCAATGAAGCAGGAGTCCAAACCGCAGAGAAAAATCGATCATCCTAAAAAGGATCCACAACCGCTGCGGGTTGTTTGATGCTTTAAGCGGATCATTAAAAACGGCTTCAAATGGTTTCGAAGAGTTGAAACAGCTCAGAAATCATCACTGTGTTGATGTCATCCATGTCCAGCCCAGAAAATCATGGCATTCTAAGTGACATTTTTGATCAAAGTTCCTCCGCCCAGCATGGCTCGATGGTCTCAAGGGGCGCCTCTAAAGGAGGACTTCTAAAACCCTTTGAGCCAGGAACTGGCCGCGGCCGATGCGGAGATTTCACCGAAGCGTCATTGTGCCCAGTGATGTTGGTTTAGAAACCCCATGAACTATAGTAGTTATATCAGTTATATCTACCATAAACCATAGAATTCAGCCACTTAGTTTAGGCAACTGAACGCGAACTCGACTGGGGGCCCCAACCTGCAAGTGGTGGTGGAAAAAACCCCTTGTTCTGACCCTGAGCCAAGCCAAGCCCTGCCTGGTTTTGCCGGAAGGTGATGAGGCAGGATTTTTTGAAGCGTTCCACGATGCCCAGAAAGACTCGCAGGTCGGCACCCTCCATCTCGCCTTGTCAAATGCTTCAGTTTTGGATGAAATGGGCATGTGGGTCCATGTCAAAAATGATGGGTTTAGTCGTTTTCTCGTTGTGTCAGTTTAGTTTAGCTTCACCAAACAAAATCGGAAGGGGTTTGGAACAAGATGGTACAAGTTCCTCATCCCATAGGGGAACTGGCTTTTCTTTGGGCTGCATCTTAAAAGTCTGCAAGGCGGACAAGTTTTCAGATTTCCCTTCAAGAGAAGAGAATCCTGGAAGCCCTAAAAATCAGGAGAGCAAAGACCAGCCCTGGATCAGTAGGGTCTAGATCAGTAGTTTTTTTAATGGAAAAAAAATACATAAGAGCTTTAGCATTGCCCTGATTCCCAAAAAGTCAGAAACAACATGTTTTCTGAGAAAAAAAACTGATGTTTTTTGGAAAAGTTGAGGAAGTTTGGGATAGGTAAATTCTATTGAAGGAACCACTTACCACTTGCCAAGTGCAATGCAAGTAGAGCCCTGCGGGCCAAATATTGGGAGTCAAGCTAGTTGATGGCACAAGAAGACACAACAATTTTGAGATTTTACAGTATATAGATGTTATTAAAGCATTTTCTGCAGTCCAGGATTTTGAGAGCACTTTTGAGGAACTTTTGGGTTTTTTTTTATAGGAACGTTTGAGAATGTTTACAGTAAGAAGAAAAAAATTACTTTTTGAGAAAAAAAGGGACATGTTGAGAAAAAAAAACATTTCGAGAAAAAACACCGGGTGTTTTTGATAAAAATACAGGTCGGTCCAGAAATCGGGGGGGGTTGAGAAACCTCTTGAGAATTCTTCAGAAATTTCGGCAATATTTATGGGGTCACTTGCGGAAATTGTGTCTATTTTCCATCACTGGCAGGCAAATATGGCAAATCATCAAGAATCAAGCAACAAGTGATGACTATGGGTGCATTTGATCTACACAAACGACAATGTCTACCATCTGGTTATTTAACATAGCCATGGAAAATCACCATGTCTAATAGGTAAACCATATATAAATGGGCCATTTTCCATGGCTATGTTAAATAACCAGAGGGTATATATCCTATGATTATGTATGTAATCGTGGTGGATTCACATCATGGCATATCCACCTGCTGTACGACAAGCATCTTCATATTCAGAACAAATTACTCGCATATACCCTGTGGTTATTTAACATAGCTATGGAAAATAACCATGTCACATGTCTAATAGGTAAACCATCTATAAATGGGCCATGTCCCATGGCTATGTTAAATAACCAGAGGGTAATTGCAGCTTTTGCACACCTTATCTGCTTGCTAGGGTTCTGTGATTCCAAATCGTGTAGATATCACCAACGAAAAGTCGAGGCTCATGGCTTTCAAGGTGGCAGCTCGCCAAGTTTTTCACCAAATGCCACTTAAGAATGAAAATTGAAAAAAAAAACGAATGTAAAACCGTGATGCTCATAGATTTTGATAGGTTTTGATCACTTCATTCTACTAGGTATGAAGCAATCCAATTCTTCCAGCTGCTGCAGCTGCTTGCGGGGGAATCTCCACAGCTCCACAGCTCCACAGCTCCAGTCACTGGCGCTGCGGTAGGGCAGCCGTCCCATAGCATCTACGCAGTTCAGCAGCATTAGGGCTTGGTTCTGCTGGTCGCAGTCCAGCACCCCCTGGCGCAAGCTCAACGCTTGCAACGGTGACGGGCATTTTTGGAAGAGCCACGGGGAAAATACATGGGGAATTTCCAGGGAATATACAAAATGGGAATATCATTCGGGACATTCAAGTTTGTATACATCTATCTATCTATCTGTCTATCTAATCTAGTCTAGTCTAGTCTAATCTAATCTAATCTAGTCTAATCTAATCTAATCTAATCTATCTATCCTATCTATCCTATCTATCTATCTATCTATCTATCTATCTAACCTATCCTATCCTATCCTATCCTATCTATCTATCTATCCTATCCTATCCTATCGATCTATCTATCCATCCTATCTATCTATCTCTCTAATCTAATCTAATCTAATCTAATCTAATCTATCTATCTAATCTATCTATCTATCTATCTATCTATCTATCTATCTATCCATCTACCTATCTATCTATCTGTCTATCTACCTACCTATCTATCTATCTATCTATCTACCTACCTACCTACCTACCTACCTTATCTATCTATCTATCTATCTATCTACCTACCTACCTACCTACCTACCTACCTATCTTATCTATCTATCTATCTGTCTGTCTGCCTATCTATCTATCTATCTATCTATCTGTCTGTCTATCTATCTATCTATCTATCTATCTACCTACCCCTGGCTACCTACCTTTCTTTCTTTCTTTCGTTCGTTCGTTCTTTCTTTCCTGTCTTTCTTTCTTTCTTTCTTTCTTTCCTGTCTTTCTTTCCTGTCTTTCTTTCTTTCTTTCTTTCTTTCTGTCTTTCGTTCTTTCGTTCTTTTCTTTCTTTCTTTCTTTCTTTTCTTTTCTTTTCTTTTCTTTCTTTCTTTATTTCTTTCTTATCTTTCTTTCTTTCTTTTCTTTCTTTCTTTCTTTCTTTCTTTTCTTTTCTTTCTTTTCTTTTCTTTTCTTTTCTTTTCTTTCCTTTTCCTTTCCTTTTCCTTTTCCTTTCCTTTCCTTTCCTTTCCTTTCCTTTCCTTCTTTCTTTCTTTCTTTCTTTCTTTCTTTCTTTCTTTCTTTCTTATCTGTCTTATCTGTCTATCTATCTATCAATCAATCTATCAATCAATCTATCTATCTATCCACCTACCTATCTATCTATCTGTCTATCTACCTACCTATCTATCTGTCTGTCTATCTATCTTTTATTTTTCATGACATAGCTTACAAATATGAAACAACAAAATATGAAAGGTAGGTTGTTGTTGGTAGAAGGCACAAAGAAAACAACTGGTGCCGAAAACTGCGCGTGAAACACACAGTGTTGGATGTGTGGTGGAAATATCAACCAACAAAACTGGGCGGGTGACTTTCTTCCAGGGGGCCAATGACATGTTGAAAAACTGCTGCCCATTGTTGTTCTGGATGCATAAAAACAGCCTAAAACAAAAATGGTCAAAACGATAGGTTTTGCCCCCACACAGGTGGATGCTAAAACCATAGTTTCCAGATGTTTCCAGCAGAGTTCTCCTGAAATTGACCCAATGAAACGTGCATATCAATGGAAAGTCCATAAAAAATCCCATCAGCATATGACTTCTTTCCAGAAGATGGAGGGTAGGTCCTAGATGTTCAGGAATCTCAGGACCTCGACCTTAAGAGATGTTGGGGCAAACAGAGGTTGCGGAGCGGGTCTTCGGATTAAAGGTCGCCCACCTAAAATCATGTACACCTACCAGATGGTTGGGAAACTCTAAGTAACTCCTTGGCTCCAATGGCAAATAATACCATCTGGTTATGACTAACAATTCGCCATGGAAAATCACCATGTTCTTAAGTTCGGTAAACCTCTATTTCTACGGGCCATTTCCCATGGCGAACTGTTAGTCATAACCAGAGGGTACTCCGCTCCGCTCCCTCCCACTGGATCGAACATGAAAAAAAAAGCGCCTCCCGCTGCGTATCAAAGTCTTGGAAGACCTCCACGGTTTTGGCTTGATCCTTCTCCTAGGCGAGGCTGGAAATGTTCTATGTCTAAATACATGTCATGTATATAGCGATAGCGAAGATTGCTATATGTAATTTATACCATTTCATATTATTTCAGTAGGATTATGTAGGATTTGATGTTCCTGTCTTTTTGGTGATTGCTATATTAGCTGCTATGTCTATATCTACATTTATATCCAGGTCCATACATATATAACCATATATGTAACAAAAAGGGTATAGCTGGAAATGGTTGTCTCATTGTGGTCCATGTAAATATGAGAAGAGATCACACCTTTTGTTTTCTTCCTATTGTAATATATATATATACTGGTTGGTGGTTTCAACGATTCAACCCCTCTGATAAATGCTGGACTTCGTCAGTTGGGATGATGACATTCCCGATGGAAAGTCATAAAATTCCATGGTTCCAGTCACCACCAACCAGTCTAATATTGAACCCCAATCAAATCCGTGGCGAAATGTAGTGACCCTATTCATCGAATCCGGCCGGATTTCGCTGACAATCTCCACGTTGTTATCTTCAACAGTTGGGATTTGAACGACTGGAGCCTGAGGAATCCCCCAAAAAAAATCACGATTCGTGGGATGCCCAAAAAAAAATCAGAAATCGACTTCTTGGGGAAGAACATCTAAGAATCTACTGGTTTTCCTTGATATCTTTCCAGATTCCCCAATCGGTTTTTTATCTCCCCAGTCAGGCCTCCCAGTTATCAGCTCCATGCCGCCAGGGGGCATTGCATTTCCGTACCACCTTCACAAACATGGTGAAGTCCAATGAGCTCCCACCATCCGCATCCACCTGAGGGTGAGCATCCAACCATGGCCGGGTCATGGCCAGTGATGAAGCATGAAGAATGTGTGATTTGTTTATTGAAAAAACAATCAATGTTAATGAATATCAATACAAGATTAACATAGTACATTATCAATGCTATTTTTTGATACTATCAATCAACCCGTCAATGAATCATTTGTGCTTACGATCGTTAATAATCAACAAAACAACATCACAATCAATGATCAATATTAATATTACCACAGTGGATTATGACACATGTCCAAGAACCCAAAGGAACGTATAACACAAAAGAAAAAACATGAACCAACAACAATATCCTATGTTTGGTTATCTCTCCCCACTGTACCCGCATTATATCCCAGCGCATTCCCCCCTACAAGCCCAATAATCATCAACCAACCATTCTTTATCCATTTACAGCTGTTGCAGCGTTGATAAATGATGTTTTAAATCGCCATGATCATCAATCATCAACCCACCATCTTCACCATAGCTGGATCCTCGTGGTTAATGGTTATTAATGGTTATTGATGGTTAATGGTTATTAATGGTTATCCAAAAAAATATCTGGTTGGTGGTTGAGCCTACCCCTCTGAAAAATATAGGTCGTCAGTTGGGATGATGACATTCCCAATAGAAAGTCATAAAATTCCATGGTTCCAGTCACCACCAACCAGATAATTAACCACTATTAGCCACTTTTTTTACCATCATCAACCATCATTAACCAAGATTACCATCACCCAGCTATTAACCATGATTATACCACATTATACCACCGGAAATCACCATGTTTCATAGTTACCCTCTGGTAAACAAACAGTTTGCTATTGAAAATGGCCATAGAAATAGTGGATTATTTTCCCATTAAAAATGGTGATTTTCCATAGTTTTTTGTTAGTTTATCCAGAGGGTAAATCACCATGGAAATCACGGGGAAACATAGCGCCCCAGAAATCGCCTCAGCGATGAGCCGCAGGGTCTGCTGCAGCGAGAGGCGATGGCCCAGCCACCGCAGGGCGCGGTTGATGGCCGGTGCTTGCACCTGGTCCTGAACGCGATTGACGCTGGGGCCCCCATGGTTGGAAAATCATGGGAAAACATGGTCAAACCCAACGCGTTAAGGAAAATCGTGGAAAATATAGGGGTGTGTTTGGGTCATATCCTGTTTTTTTGGGGGGGAATATGGTGTCAAACACAATTTCGAATGGGAAAATATGGATCGAAACCCATTGATTCATTGGAATTGTATGGGTCAAACCTCCATTTGCATGGAGAAATCATGGAAATCATCACAGTTACACCATTTGTATACAAATGGGCGGAAATCCGTGTTTTTATATTGGCCCGTCCCCGTTTTTGCAGGAGCGAGTCACCAAACCCACCAAAAGTGATGTTTGATGCCCGAAACAATCAGATGCCCGAAACAATCAGGTGCCTAGTCTCAGAATGTTTCAGACAACTTGCACAAGAAGTCAATCTTTAATCATCTTTAGCTGGGCATGATATTACTCCAAGCCTTCGGATTTGCATCAGTCCGATAGGCAAGCCTCTGGCTCAACAGAAGTGCAAGAGAAAGTCCCCAACTTTCTTGGGGAAACTTTCTGGCTAACTCTACCCATGGCAACTCATCCATGGCCTGCTTTTCTGGATTGCAGAAGGTGAAGGATTGCCTGGGCAAGGCCGAACCGGGCAGATCCGGGCAGGAACCGTCAACTCACCGGGGGCTCAAAGAACAGCTGGGTTTAGGCGTCCTGCTGAACATCACATGAAAATCAGGCTGGCCGAAATGGTATACAGTCCCTCAGCGCTGAGGAGCATTTGCCTAAAACAGCTCGAGAACACGGCCAGTAATTCCTAACGTCCTAACATATATATGGAAAATCCACCACCCTTCTAGATAGATAGGATAGGATAGGATAGGATACGATAGGATAAGATAGGATACGATACGATTAGATTAGATTCAGATTTAGGTTAGCTTTAGATTAGATTTAGACTTAGGTTTAGATTTAGATTTAGATTAGGATAGATAGATAGATTAGATAAGATAAGATAAGATTAGATTAGATTTCGATTAGATTAGATTAGATTAGGATTAGATCAGATTAGATCAGATTAGATCAGATTAGATCAGATTAGATCAGATTAGATCAGATTAGATCAGATTAGATCAGATTAGATCAGATTAGATCAGATTAGATCAGATCAGATTAGATCAGATCAGATTAGATCAGATCAGATTAGATCAGATTAGATCAGATTAGATCAGATTAGATCAGATTAGATCAGATTAGATCAGATAAGATTAGATAAGATTAGATTAGATAGATAGACAGACAGACAGGAGAGATAGATAGATAGATAGATAGATAGACAGATAGACAGATAGACAGATAGACAGATAGATAGATAGGTAGATAGATAGGTAGATAGGTAGATAGATAGATAGATAAGATAAGATAAGATAAGATAAGATAAGATAAGGTAAGATAAGATAGATAGATAGATAGATAGGTAGATAGATAGATAGGTAGATAGATAAGATAAGATAAGATAAGATAAGGTAAGATAAGATAAGATAAGATAAGATAAGATAAGGTAAGATAAGATAAGGTAAGATAAGATAAGATAAGATAGATAGATAGATAGATAGATAGATAGACAGATAGATAGATAGATAGATAGGTAGATAGATAGGTAGATAGATAGATAAGATAAGATAAGATAAGATAAGATAAGATAGATAGATAGATAGATCATTTTCGAGGGAAACCCAGCAATTTCCACAGCCATGTTAGTTCAATGAAGGGTATCTGATGGGAACCGCTAAATAAATCCCGGGTCAATCGTCTGCTTCTCTCTCAACATAGCATTAAATTGATGCCCATCCATGTTCAGAATCAAGCCAAATGTCATAATTTGTTGGTTAGCTATGCCCCTACAAAATCCCATACAGTAATATATCCTATGAATTCTGTCCCCCAGGCTATGGCCAAAGTCTTATACCCCCAATATCCATTGTTATTGGTGAGATCCCTACTTTGTTGTGGCTAAATCCCTGCTTTCCATGGTTGGATCCCTACTTTCTAATGCTGCTGCATCCACATGAAAACCACCCAGGTTTCGTCGCAATGCCCGGGCCACTTGAGTTCCCGCAGCTCTTTTTGGGTGAAGCCATCGCAGGCTCGCAGGGCGCCTGTTTGAAAGCACCAGGACTGGACTCGAAAACCAGCAACACAGGAGTTTCACACTTACCCTCTGGTAAACTAACATAACCATGGAAAATCACAATTTTTAATGGGTGAATCAACTATAAATTGCAATTTTCAATAGCAAACTGTTTGTTTACCAGAGGGTACCAACTGAATCCTCCGCGCCAAGGCACCCAGCACTTTGCAAACATCGTCCAAGCCAAGCTGTAACTTCATGTCTTGCAAGCTAGCCTGCCGTGAAAATGCCACCTTCCTAGAGGGAAAACCAGCTGTTTCACCCACAAGGACGAGTTTGAGGTACCCCAGGTACCATGACATCCGACTATGGAAACTTTGGAAACCTCCTTGGTACCTGCCCAGAATCATCCACCGGCAGCGCCATGGTGTTTGACAGAGCATCCAGGATCGCCTCAGGGTCAGAGGGAACCAGTGAATTGGGGTGATTTATCCAAGAAAAAATGGGAAGAACATGTTTAAACAACATGGACAAGATAATGGAAAACTCGACAGTCTCTGTGTGGGAAAAAAATATGTTATTTGTCCGAGATAGTGATTTCGCTACAAAAGACTTGGGATAGAAAAGGGGATGGTATATCCAAAACCGTGAGAAATATATAAGAGGATTTGTGATGTAGATATTATAACTTTGTCGACTTCAAGTGCTGGGAAAACTCGATATGAATCTAGTCCATCCCGTGGTCAAATCTCATATATTCTCTATCAAAAGTCTTGTCAACTGGCATAAAATCATGTGAACATCACCATTTTTTGCTACCATTTCTACCCATCAACATCACCGCAACAATGCTAAATGACAGAAAATCACCACATGTTTTTCCCGAAAAGTCCCATGGAATCCCAATATTTTTTCATGGTAGCATTTCCAAGTTCTGACCCCCAACCCTGCACCCAGGGGGATCCGTGGGTACCTGTGGCGAGGACGAATAGCCCAGGCCATGGATAAAGGCTTTGAATCGATCGCCGCTGACGAAAGCTCCGCGACTGGCGCGACTAAGGAAGCCCTCAACCTGAAGGTCCAGCTGCATCACCAGCGCTGTTTAAAAAAGAGGCCGCCGTTGAGGTACTTGATCGTAGAAAGTATTGTTGAGGTACTGTTGGGGTACTTGATATTTCTTTGGTTTCGATGGTTTTTGAAGTTCTGCGGTGGAAATCATGCTTGATTTCGTGGAATTGTCCCTGAAATCTTAAACCAGGGTTTTCCCCGGCAAATATGGATGGATATTTCCCCACCTGCCAGGTGAGGGTTGTTAGATTTTATCAGAGCTGTTCTTCTCCTCCTCGGCTAGCTCTTCTCCTCCTCCTCTTCCTCCTCCTCCTCCTCTTCCTCCTCCTTCTCCTCCTCCTCCTTCTCCTCCGCCTGTTTCGCCTCGACCATGTCTGCATCAACTTCCACCTCAACTTCCGCCTTGCCAACTCTTCGCCAAGCTCTTTGCCAACTTCCCAGCTCAGTGTGCACCGCTGGACCTCAACCTGGGACCTTCCCAGCTCAGTGTGCACTGCTGGACCTCAACCTGGGACCTTCCGAGCTCAGTGCGCACGGCTGGACCTCAACCGGGGACCTTCCGAGCTCAGTGTGCACCGCTGGACCTCAACCTGGGACCTTCCCAGCTCAGTGTGCACTGCTGGACCTCAACCTGGGACCTGCCCAGCTCAGTGTGCACCGCTGGACCTCAACGGCCAGATAGAATGCCAGAAGATGTGCCAGATAGAATGTCAGATAGAATGCCAGAAGATATGCCAAGATAAAATGCCATGAGATATGCCAGATAGAATGCCAGAAGATATGCCAGAACATATTGCAGAAGATATGCCAGGTAGAATGCCAGATGATATGCCAGATAGAATGCCAGAAGATATGCCAGATAAAATGCCAGAAGATATGTCAGATAGAATGCCAGAAGATTTGCCAGTAACAAAACGTATAGATGTCATGGTGGGGATAACTCGAAGTAAAGTAATTGCAATTGTTCAAGAAGAATGTGGTAGTATCCCTTCTCTGGGTTGGTATAAGCAACGGTTTACCCTTGAAACCATGGTTTTTTTCCCGGCAATTGTAGGGGGCTCCTGTAAATCTATAATATATCCGTCATCCAATTTATTGTATTACCCCCGTGTTTCATTTGAATTGGGGGTGGCAGACCTCATGGTTGCAAACCATTAATAGCAGCGATGTCCCAGGCGTGGGAGGTCACCCTCCTAATGCCCTGCAAGTGCCCAGGTGCTTGCTTCATTTCTTCATCTAAAACCTAGCGGAGAGAGGTCCGGCCGGTGATCCCCGCTGATCAGCTGAAAGCTCTAAGCTATTCGATACATTGGGTACTGTATCCGTTTATCTCTTCTTCATGTCCACAATGTGCTTCATGTCCATAAATATGCATAACCTCTTAATATATGATACACAATATGGTTGTGTACTACAGAAGGGTTGCTTGGAATATGCACTACCAGGTACCATCGGGGTCGTCTCTAAAAGAAGCTAATTTCCTGCGATAGGCGTGGGCTCCGGGCAAGTATCTGGATTTGTGCGGATACTAAAAGTATGTGCGCGTACTGTGTATGAATTATATATATTTAAATATATGTATGAATGTATATATGTGTATATATGGATATGGATATGCATATGTATATGTATATGCATACGTATGCATATGTGTATATGTATATGCATATATATATATATGTATGTGCAAATATTCGTATACTGTATATACATATACATACAGTATATACATATTCTAATGTACATGACAAAATGGGCATGGCCATGTCCAGACACCTCTTTGGTGCAGCCACGATTCACATGCTCACACTGGCGGGGTGAATCGCTCAAGACATGGAACCCAGTTGGTTTCAACCATGCGTTACATTATAACAACCCAAAAAGAGAGAAATACCCTCTGGTAAACTAACATAGCTATTGAAAATGGCCATTTATAGTGAGTTTTCCCATTAAAAATGGTGATTTTCCATAGCTATGTTAAATTGCCAGAGTGTAGTTTGTTTGAAAAAGGGAATATATATGGGAAACATCATCTATCCTGGAAACAGTGTTTCTATCTTTTGGGGCTTGCTGCAACCTACCTATATCAGGGGGCCATGTCCCATCCCGCGATCTGCCGGATCACTCGAAAGCACGTCATTCAGTGATGCTTTCACCCAAATCCGAAACTTGAAACTGTGTGTTTTTTTATGGGTTACCCTCTGGTAAATTAACATAGACCCTGGCAGATAGGGGTTGGAAGACTAGTTTCCATTAAAAAATGGTGATTTTCAAGGATCTATGTTTATTTACCAGAGGGTATTATAGTTTTTTGTGGTTTATGATGGTTTTTATCTGTGCCTTCGGAAATTCTTTGGATTTCTGAATGGTGAACCCCCGGCCAAACGCTCAGTGCTAAATACCACCCCGGCTGATGGATCCAATACATTTGACCCAGATGGATCGTTGTGGCATTACGACAGGGGAAAGGGGTTACTATCGTAACCATCATAAATATCATAGCTATATTAGCTATATATAGCTATATATAGCTATATAATTTTTACGTATAAATTATAACCATCATGAAAAATTCTATGAATGGATTGGTTTGAAGGTAGAATCTACCAGAAACAAGCTGGTGTTTTTGCCAGTTCAAGGGAACATCTTCACCGGAAACCAGCTGGTTTTCACCAGTAGAAACCTGGTGGAACTCACCCGTTTTGAAAAGATGGCGCTTTCAAGCAATGCTACATGTTTTTCATAGAAAAATCTAGTCAGAAATGTCAACCCTGGATTAATAAATTATAAAAAAAGGGGGGTACTCCTCCAATAGTCATAATCTAGTACTTAAATGGTACCGTCCCAATTAAACAGCCCAGGGGTTTATGAATCCAGGGTTGACATTACACAGGTAAAACCAGGGTATTTACCACTACCCTCCGGTAATCAAGTAATCAAGCATGGCATTTCGGAAAACCCCCATTATTTATAGATGATTTCGCCAGCTATAAACCTCCATAGCTATATAGTTGGTTCAGGGATTTCCCATTGCCATGGCTTGAAAAAACCGCAGACTAAAATCCATCATCCAAGTACTATCCCATCATCCCATTAGCATCCCAATGATCATACCATATGGAAGTGTAGTAATTTCCATCATAAACTATGATAATCCATTTAAAAAAACACACATATTCAAAAAAAACTATGATAAACCAAGATAAACCATCATTAACCACAAAAAACCATGATAATCCATAAAAGAAACATTCTAAAAACCATATAAAAACCATAATAACCTGCAGCAAACTCCCCGGTTTCACGTCCCATAAAAACGCCGAGCAACACGCCGCAGGCAGCCGATGAACTCGCCTTCGCCCAGTTGGCCATCACCGTCCACGTCGCTCTGGCGGTGAAACTCCTGGCATTTTTGGGACCAGAAATGGCTGGTAAATGGATGGTAAATGGATATATGGATGATATATGGGTGGTAAATGGCTGGTATATGGATGGTATATGGATGTTTTTTGGACCAAAAATATGGGTATATGGATGGTGGATGGTTTCTGGGATTTCTTTGATTGGTCTGGATTTCTGGGATTTTTGAGTGTGATGGTACGTACCAATTTGGTATTTCTGGGATTTATTGGTAAGATAGTTTGGATTACCAATTTTGAGGATTTTCACCACAATCTTAATCAAAATATGGTGCTTTAAGATTGGTTTAGATTTCGTTTTTTTAGTGTGATGATGATGATGATGGTGATGATGATGATGATGATGATCATGAGGATGACGATGACGATGAGGATGATGATGATGATGACGACGAGGACGAGGACGAGGACGATGACGATGACGATGACGATGACGATGACGATGACGATGATGATGAGGAGGAGGATGATGATGATGGTGATGGTGATGGTGATGGTGATGGTGATGATGATGATGATGAGGGGAGGAGGAGGAGGATAGGAAATGATTCTCCACAGAAAGACAAAAGAAATATTTCAGTAGGGGTTTACTTTTCGACTGGACTTTAAGGTGCCTTTCATGATTTCTTGTAAGTTAGGAAAGCAAGAGTAATTCACGGTGCCTAATCTCGCCGGGGAATTTTTTTCTCCTGCCCCGGGGATTTTTTTTCCTGATCTGTTCTGTTTTCCGTCCCCTGCATCTATCCTGCCACTTCCCTTCCATGATGCATGCTTTTTGCAGCATTTTGGAGCTGGAACCTTTCATTTTGCGTGTTATTTGCAGCACTTTGGAGCTGAACCTTCCATGCTGCATGCTATTTGCAGCATTATGGCGCTGGAACTTCATTTATTTTGCATGCTATTTGCCGCATTTGGGCGCAGGAACCTTCTATTTATCATGCTGTTTGCCGCATTTGCGCGCAGGAACCTTTCAGTTTGCGTGCTATTTGTAGAATTTGGGAGCTGGAACCTTCTATGTTGTTGTATTTGTTGTTACGTTTGTTGCTGTTATGTTTGTTGTTGTGCTGTCTGTTGTTGTAATGTTTGTTGTTGTTTCTTTGTTATTTTTGTTGTTGCGATGTTTGTTCTTGTGATGTTTGCTGTTGCGATGGTTGTTGTTGTGATGGTTGTGATGGTTGTGATGGTTGTGATGGTTGTGATGGTTGTGATGGTTGTGATGGTTGTGATGGTTGTGATGGTTGTGATGGTGGTTGTTGTTGTGGTTATTGTTATTGTTGTTATTGTTGTTGTTGTTGTGATGGTTGTGATGGTTGTGATGGTTGTGATGGTTGTGATGGTTGTGATGGTTGTTGTTGTGATGCTTGCTCTTGTGATCGTTGTTGTTATTGTGTTTATTGTTGTTATGGTTGTTGTTGCTGTTGTTGTTGTTGGATATGCGCAAATAAATGGTCACAAAATATGTATCTAAATGACAACCTGTACATATGTATATATATATATACATACCTGGATCGCCAAAGTTGCAGGTTTTTCTTTGCAACTTTTGAATTTCACATCACTTTGTTTCTTTGTCCATGGTATAACATTTATTATGATCACTGCCATCTAGACATATCACTTTCCCCATTCTGGGTGTCCTAGCACCAACCATCACCACCGACCCGCCACGGCAGCAATATTTTCAGTGGTACAGTGGTACAGTGGTACAGTTGCTGGTTGCCTGGCTGGCTGCCTGGCTGGCTTGCTTGCTTGCTGGCTGGCTTGCTTGCTTGCTTGGTTTGCTCGCTGGCTCCCTTGCTTGCTTGCTGGCTGGCTGGCTGGCTTGCTTGCTTGCTTGCTGCCTTGCTTGCTTGCTTGCTTGCTCGCTCGCTCGCTCGCTTGCTGCCTTGCTTCCCTGGCACACCAGTCTGCGGGAACTTAGCCGGGAAAAAAAAATCCCCGGGGAGGAAGAAAAAAACTCCCCATTAAAATGGGGTACCGTAATTCACCAGCAAATTTATATTGGTAGATTTTAAAAGGGAAAAAACTGGTGACAGAAACATTGTTACAGGAAATCCTCGGACTTTCGTGAAAAAAAACATATGGCTTTCTCGGAAGCCAAAAATGCCAGAAATCCTCTGATTTGATTGGGGACCCATCGCGTGTTTTCATCTTTGATTCTCGCTCTCAAATCATATGTTAAGTTGTGTAATCAAAAAAAATGTCTCTATAATTCTATGATTATTATGTATATATATATATATATCCCTTTCTCTCTCTCATCTCAATTTCTTGGTTCAAGGTATCTATATCGATACCAAGCCAGTCAGCATCCCCCACCTGCAGCTTCTCTGGGCCATAGGGAAAGCCCAGCCACGTCAAGGCGTTGGCGAACTCCGAGCAGCTCATGGAGTCGCTGTTGTCGCGGTCGAAGCGTTGGAAGACGCGGTAGAAATGGTCCAGCTCGTAGCAGGTGAAGCCTCCGCCACCACTGATTTTTCTGATTCAAAAGTGGGGACGGCTTTAGGTGGAATATCATGGGGATTGAAAAATATTGAAAAACTGTGATGATCATGGGAAGATCATGGGAAACGATGATGCTACCCTTCGAACATGCGGATTTATTTTTTGGGGGGATCGAATGGGATATGAATGGGAAATACCCTCTGGCCATGACGAACAATTTGCGAAGTGGAAAAATCACCATTAAAAAAAAAAGGTAAATCATCGAAGTAGATGGGCCATGGCTTCCAGTTCGCTATGTGAAATTGGGGGAGGGTGTTTACCCCAATTGGTTGATGAAGAATAGAGGCGCCTTTTTGCCATATTTTTAGGTCGCCAATGCCAGAAAAATGAATGACAGAGGCCTCTGAACATTGATCTGAGATGGGAAAAGCCATGGTTTCTTTATGCCCAGAAAAATCTGGAAAGTCTATAATGTGTGCAACAAGTTGAAGAAACATCTAGGAAATATATGGAAATCTGGGGTGAGTCGGGAGGTATTTGTAGGCATTTGAAAGGTGGAAACCAGGAAGCACATCTCGACTCATGACCACCTCTCTGGCGAAATGGTTTCAATCCGAGCTGCGAAACATCAACGTCATGTAGCGCAGCACTATAGCTACTGTTTGGTTCTCCATTTTTTGTGCCAATGTTGAGATGTCGTTTACGGATATGGAGGCATGCTGCAAGCCACAAATTGGGGGGCTTACCCCCCAAAAAAAAACATGTGACAGGCTTTTGGGTCGATCTTGCAATGGCCTTCCCGCTTGCGGATGAGGTGTTGAATCTTGCGAAAGCCACCTTAGGTGGGATTCCTCCGAAATCTTGGGGGAATCACCATTCATGCCCCTGGAGGAAAACTCATCGATTTTTTTGTGGAACATGTGATTAAAAAAGCAAAGCTTGTCTGATCTCAATCTTATCACACTCTATGCAGGGCTTGGAGGAGTTTCGACCTTCGGCCAAGACTGTAACATGGTAATGTGACACATAGCTAATTATTAGAAAATTGCCCATTTATAGATGCTTTACGTGTTAAAAATGATGATGTGTTCCAGTTCGCAAAATGTCAACTTACCGGAGGGTCATATCCCCAGTTTGGGTGAGAAACACGACGCAGCCACTGGGTGCCGCACTCAGGTCTACTCTCCCCTCGTTATCATCATCCACCTCTTGTACCAATTCCTTCAGAACGAACCTGACGAAAAAAACATGTGGAAAGATTGGGTTTAAAAGTGGTTTATCATAGAAATCATGGGATGTATATTATGTGTGTGTGTGTGTTTCTGAGCAAGTGTGTGTGTGTTTCTGTGTGTTCTGAGCAAGTGTGTGTGTGTGTGTCTGAGCAAGTGTGTGTGTGTGTGTGTCTGAGCAAGTGTGTGTGTGTGTGTGTGTCTGAGCAAGTGTGTGTGTGTCTGAGCAAGTGTGTGTCTGAGCAAGTGTAAGTGTGTGTGTGTGTGTTGTTTCTGAGCAAGTGTGTGTGTGTGTGTTTCTGAGCAAGTGTGTGTGTGTGTGTTTCTGAGCAAGTGTGTGTGTGTGTGTGTTTCTGAGCAAGTGTGTGTGTGTGTTTCTGAGCAAGTGTGTGTGTGTGTGTTTCTGAGCAAGTGTGTGTGTGTGTCTGAGCAAGTGTGTGTGTGTGGAACATCTGAAAAGATGTAAAACTTCCTATGGCTCAAACTTGGTTGATTTTCGATTTTTTGCTGTTACTTCGTACTTGCAGGGGGACACAGCATTTCACTGGGACTGTGTCCAACGAAGCTACCAGTGAAATGGGATATCCAGCTTGGCCAGCTGGACGTACCTGCGCCATTTTCCAATTTCGTCAATGGCGACCGGCTAAGCCAAGTACCGGCATGTCGTTTGGTTTTACAATCTCCATTATGGATTATGCTGCATCTGAACCTTCTTCAGAACTTCGGTGTCGACAGGTTTCTACCCAATGTACGGTTTTCGCAATCTGATTTACTGCTGACTTCGTCAGATGGAACAGTTGCTTTTTGCAAGGACAAAGAAAGATTTCTTCTACAATGGTTTTCTCGCCAAGTCATCCTATTTTCCTGTCAGACTTTAGGGGATTGTTTGTGCACGCCCGATGCACTCCACAACAGTAATTCGATAAGAATTTTCTGAGCAAGTGTGTCATTCCTGCTGTATACGTCAAGTTGGCAGGAACCCTTCGGGGAAAGCCTTTCCAGGCTAACAATTGACAGTAAATCGATGTCTGAATTTACACTTTTGAATTAGTAATTCGTGTAAGTAATGTGAACTGCTGGCCATTTTTCTGGTCTCACACGTCGGTCGTGAAGTGTGTGTTGAACAGCTGGCCGCTGTACTGGGCCTCTTTTCTTTTTCGCTGAATTGCATAGTTGGAAGCCACGTTAACATCCGTTTTTTCAACATTGCTCGAGAGCTTGACTGACAAGATGCATCATGACATGGTTCCATGTGGAGGCGTCAGGACATGCTTTAGGTGTGGTTCTCCTTTCTTTTGATGGTCGTTGGTGAGGTTCAATTGTGCACCTAATTCAGGGGTTGAACACGTTAGCCGTCCAGAGGGTTGTGACTTGAAAGCCGAGGGCCTTTGAGCCTTATCACGAATACTGCATGAGTTGTGGATGCATCCAATGTTAGTGTTTTACCATTATAGTGATCGTCTGACAGTGCTGCCAGACCTGTTATTTTTGGCCATGTTTCCTGGTCGTTGGCCAAACTTTTCGGAGAACATGTGGAACTGTGGCTGGTCAGCGCCTGCCTTTACTTCACCTCAACCTGCAGCACAATTTGGTCAATTTTGTGGAGGTGATCTGATGAACCAACAGTCTCAAGCTCAGTCACAAGCTCAGACTCAAGCTCAGTTGGCTCAGTTACGGGACCAAAATGCATTACTGCATCAACAGTTGAATTCCCAAGCTCAGACCCATATTCAGCAACTCCAACAGCTTCTCCCATTCCATCAGACTTCCCAACAAACCGCATCTCATCAAAATCCTCCATCAGTGCCTGAGCCACCAACGGTGCCACCAGTCCAGACTCCTCCTGTTCCAACTCCATCTCAACCCGCTCCACAAGAGCCACATCCCACTTTCAATCCAGAAGAGATGATGCAACAGATGCGCAACACAGTGGAATCTGGCATGCAGGCGTTTATGGAAATGACTAAAGAAAGGTCTAAGAGCCCACATGCAAGTGGGGTTCCACTCCCATCAGCGACTCCAGTCGCAGAATCTCCACCCATTGTCCCATTACCACCACTTCCACGGCTTCATCGCCGTTCCAGGTCAAGGTCTCAACATATTCCGTCTCAGGTGGACAAACGTCCCATTTCGATCCCGAAAAGTCCAAGAAGTCACAGACGGAATAGCCGATAGCCGTTCCCGTCACTATCGTCGACGTTCTCGCTCACGTGATGACTCCATGTCTCCAGGCCGTCCCCAGTCAGTCACTCTTCGTTCCAACTCTCTACGTCATCGGGAAGACCTACATCAACGTGATGAACTTCGACGTCGTAATGAGTATACTTATCCATCCACTACACAGCAACCTCCATCTTGGCATGACCATCACCATGAACAACCTTCAATTCCCGACAAGTCGGACTACCAAGACTACTCCACCTACCCTGACTACGGCTCCACCAAAAAGTGGAAGCCTTGGCAGTCTTGGAAAGACCAGTCCAAGTCTCAATATTACACGCATCCCTCTGGATGGATCGATTACTCAAAGCCACACTACAAACATCAATCTTATGATGAACAGCCTTCCAAGTATCCTTCAAAGCCTCTGACGGCATACTCGCTGGAGAAGCACTCCCACAGCCAGGGCAATCCCACAGCCAGGGCAATCATCCCAATCGCTCTGGCTCAGCTCAATCCCGAGCTTCCACTCTTCCACCTGGTCATATGGCCATCAACCTTCAAGAAGGTTCCAGAGAGGAATGGGTTCGCCAAGTCAAACATGCTCTCACCCATCCTGATCGGATGAGAGCGGCAAATGAACTTGATGCAAAGGAGCTTCCTCAACCATCCACGAGTATTATCCAAGAGCACTTTGACGAAGCAATGGACGAGTTGACCAACGTGGACGTGAGAATTCCCACAGACATTGGCAGAAAGGCCATACATTTATTGTCAAGTACAGGCATCCTGACGGATTTTGATATGTCCGCATGCTATGTTCGAGAACTTCCACAAACAGGCATGCTAGCCTTGGTCATGCCGCTGCCAGAAATGAGCCGATTTCAAATGCCCCCACCTTTTGGCGGCCAGACCCTCGTCACATGGGCACTTGGCCATGGTACGACCCTCAGTACCGCACAGCTGATCCTTATGGAGGGCAAGATCCGACCAGCAAACTGGGCTTATCACAAAAATCCACAGAGATGCCACATGCCCACCTTTGGAGCATTCTACATAGGCCGGCAGATTGCCAATGCTGACAAGAACTTCCCATCATGGGCAGAACAGGAACTGCTCGATTCCATGGAGAAGAAAGGCAAAGGCCAGCAAGAAATCACCATTGGGGCGATCTATAGAGGCTCAGTGGAACATCTTTCACTGCGCGGTGGAGGGAACGAGAAATGTCAGCTCAATGTAGCTAAAAAGGGAATCGTCACCACTCCGGAGAAGTACACGATTGCCCACAGCTACCACGTGGGGCTGAAGTTCATCGCGATCAAATGGTCAGACCTCAAGGATGATGACCAACTGGCACGGCGCCCTATTGAACTTAAGGACACAGATTCTGAGGACAATGTCAACTATCGCGCCAACGAGGAACGGCATGCAGCCAAACGTAAACGTTGAGCATTTAAGACAGCATTCTCTGATCGTGTATCATTAGTTTTCTTGTCCTAAACAGGATCATGACTTCTTTTCTGGGGATTTCCTGGACAAACGCATTGGCAAAATGCGACTGCTGACTTGCCCATTTGATTTGCTTTTCACTCTTATGAACTTTTCTGGTCATTAGGAGCTTGCAGAGTTTGCTTAGTGACTTTGATGCACATACCAATTGTGCTTGACAGGGTATCTGTACCTTAAATGTGATGTTCCATTTCATTTCATCCTGTCAATCGTTGCAACCACCGCAGCTTTTTTGATCCATCAGTAATCTTGAACTGCCCCCGCCACCATGGCAGAGTCTGATCGATCCCGCTCACCAGCACCTGGTCGAAATCGAGCTGAACCTGAGCCTCCTCGCCCTCCTGTACGGCAAGCTCTTCCGTTCTTTCCTCGATGGTGTGGGCCTATGCAATCAGCGATTTGGCACTCTCAACAGATGCTGCGACCTCAGTCCAGACCTCAGTTCCAACCTCAGTTCAATATGCGCCAGTCGGGACCTTATATGATGACTCCACCAACAGATCCATCAGCTTCGATGCATACATGGCCAAATCCAAGACTTCCACCTACCAATCCAAGATTTCCACCTGCACCTCCTTCATCACCACCACCAACACTTGCATATGCACGTCAATCCAGCTCAGCCACTCCGCCATGTTCACCTACGATTCCATGTGCCCCAACTCAACTGGCTTCGCCCAGTACTCCATCAATCCCGTCGTCACAACCTCGCCACTCCGGCACTCCATTCTCCAAGTCACCGGGAGGACAGACCACCATTGATGAAAGTCGTACATATGGCTTCGATCTCAACCCTCACTGGCAAGACGATCAAGACCACTACGACAATCAGAAGATCAACGGCTTGACCTTCCCTCGAAGTATTCGACCTTCAGCTTTTACACAAAAGCTCGACATCGAGGGATGCGATCCACTGAAGCTTCCAGTAGCGGCCTTACTATATCAGCAGGCCAACAACTTCTGGCTTCGGAAGCTGGCTCATGGGCGTGAAGTGTACCTGATTCCTACGGGGGATATCGCAGCGGTGGTATTTATGACGGAGCTATTGACTCAATTACGGAACAAAGGGGTGGATCTTGACAAGGTGTCATCTTGCAAAGCCAGACAGGATGGGAAGTTGCTGGACAAGACCAACAACACCAAGCACGCTGCTCAACAGATCGCAGACCTGATCCATACTTGGGTTCCTACCCGAATGGCAGACCCTGACACTCAACAGGAACTAACTCAACTTCGGAGTCAACTTGCCCAACTGCGACAACAACTCGGGGAAAACCCAGGCGACTCTTCATCTCCGGGCACTCCTGGCCCTCCAGCATCCAGCCCTGCTGCTACA